ACCAGTCCAAGCCCCATGACCCAATGGGGAAAAAAAAAAGAAAGAAAGAAAAGAAAAAGAAAAAGAAAAAATAGAGCAGACCAGCAAAGCTTCACTGTGTAGAACCGCATGGGGGCAGTACTGAGACACCAATTTCCTCTGGTATCATTTCTTGGGTAGGAGGCTGAATCTTGTTACAAGTCAGCAATACTTGTTATTTTCTGATTCTATTTTGTTGTTGTTGCTGTGTTCTTGTTTTGACATCTTGTCTCTTTTATGTAGCCCAGGCTGGCTCAGGACTAGCAATCCTGCCCCAGCTTCCCAAGTCCTAGGATAATAGGCATGCCCCACTGCACTCAACTCTAATGCAAGTTTTAAACTGTTTTTCTAACATTTATATGACCTACATTGTATTATCACCTAACAACATAATTATTGTTCTAGATGAGGAATCCAACACACCTGAATTGCAACATGCAAAATGGAATTTAAGGAAGTTAAAATTCTTCAAGCTTCCTTATGACAAGTTGGTTATCAAGATGAATCCTGAATTGAGGCTCTGAAGAGCCTTGGAATTAGGCCTTGGATCACAAGATAGACTGAGTACTCTCTCTCTCTCTCTCTGTTTCACACACACACACACACACACACACACACACTCACACACACACTCACCAAACCACTATAATCAACCTAACTGGACATTAATAAGGGGGTGGTTTAAATCAATTAGGGTACAGCTAGAACACAGAACTACTGCAAATAATAAAAATGAATACTTATTGTCAAAGAAAGACATTTATGCTAAATTCTGTGAAGCCAGAAAACCACACTCTATATTCAGTATATACAGCAATTTTGCTGCTACAGCACTATTCACACCTATAATCCTAGCAACTTAAAAGATTGTGGTCTGAGGATCAAGGTTCATAGCCAGCCCAGGAAGATATATCTGAGAGACTCCTCTCCAAAAAAAATCAGCGAAAAGCTAAAAATGCCTGTAATCCTAGCTACTCGGGTGACTGAGATTTGAGGATCACAGTTTGAAGCCAGCCAGGCAGGAAAAGTCCATGAGACTCTTATCTCCAATTAAGCACCAAAAAGCTGGAAGTTGTGGCTCAAATGGCAGAGCAAAAAAGCTCACGGACAGTGTCTTAGCCCTGAGTTCAAGCCCCAAGACTGGCACACGCACGCGCGCATGCGCACACACACAAACACGCAAAGCTGAAAGTAGATATAGCTCAAGTGATAGAGTGACAGCTATGAGTGAAAAAACCAGTGAGAATGTCAGGCCCTGAGTTGAAGTGCCAGTAGTGGCAGGAAAGAAACGGAGGGGAGGGAAGGGGAGGGGAGGGGAGGAAAAGAGAGGAAGGAAACTTTAAGTACATATTTACAAAGACAGCCATCTGAAAAGGATATGTTATCAGGGGGCTGGAAGGTGGCTCAGTGGTAGAGTGCTTGCCTTGCATGCATGAGGCCCTGGGTTCGATTCCCCAGCACCACATAAGCAAAAAGAAAAAAAGCCAGAAGTGGCACTGTGGCTCAAGTGGTAGAGCACTAGCCTTGAGCTGAAGAGCTGAGGGACAGCGCCCAGGCCCAGAGTTCAGGCCCCACGACCGGACCCAAAAAAAAAAAAAAAAGGATATGTTATCAGGGATTAACAGGTATCACTGGACAGTCCAACTATGAGTGGTTTTATTTTTTTTAATTCAGTTCCTTACTAGGTACCATGATGCTCATGCCTAGAATCCTAGCTACTCAAGAGATCTGAGGATCACAGTTTGAAGACCAGAAATAGAGCTGTGACTCAAGCAGTAGAGCACGAGCCTTTAGCAAAAAGCTGCTCAGTGTCTAGGCCTAGAGTTCAAGCCCCAGGATTGACCAAAAAAAAAAAAGTGCCTCAGCCTTGCTGACTTCTTTTGGTAGACTAAAACTCTACCATTTTAGTCATACCCCCAGCCCTGATTTTTGCTGTTGAGAGGGTGGGTATTTTGGACATGGAGTCTCACAGACTTTCCTGCCCAGGCTGGATTCAGAATTGCAAGTCTCTGCATCTCATTACAGGTGTGTGCCATTAGCACCAGGCATTTTAAAATTGTATTTAGGTAACCCTACTCATCGAGAATGTAAATACCTAACTCATTCCCCTTCTCAACCCTTATCTCATGAAATACCAATGCAGGCCCTAGTGGCTCATCACTGGGAAGCTGAGGCAGGAGGATTGTGAGTTCCAGGCAGCCTGAGTTACACAGCAAGATCCTGTCTCAAAATAAATAAATAAATAAAATCAGAGAATACAAGTACTGAAAACAGAAAGTTTGTGCTGTATAGGAGAATCAACCTGTTTCCCCATGCGAGTAATAATGTCTAAGGAAATTGAGGGTCTCGGTACCGTCCCCTTGTGGCTCTATGCTATTAAATTGGGGATCATCTATGCCAAAAGCTGAGGGCCATCCGCTCTGACCAAGGACTGATAAGCAAAATACATGAAGAATTCAGAATGCTAAACAATGAAAAAACCCAATCAATAAATGGGAATTGAAAAAGAAGGGTAAGTGGCCAATAAATACATGAAAAAACATCCTTAGCCACAAAAGAAAATGCCACTCAAAATGGCATCAAGATGCCATCTCATCCCAGTCAGAATGGCTATTATGGATGAGTACTGGTGGCTCACTCACCTCTGTAATCCTAACTACTCAGGAAACAGATCTGAGCATGGTGGTTCAAAGCCAGAACAGGCAGGAAAGTCTGTGAGACTCTCACCTCCAATTAACCAGAAAAGAATTAAAATGGAGCTGGGGCTCAAGTGGTAAAGCATGAGCCTTGAGCAACAAAGCCAAGCAGAGTTTAAGACTCCACACCAACATACACACACACACACACACACACACACACACACACACACACACACACACATTATCAACAAAACAAACAAATGCTGGCAAAGGTTTGAAGACAAAAGGAGTCATTCACTGTTGGGACTTTAACTTAGTGCTACCACTATTGAAGGCAGGCAGTATGGAAGTTCCTCAAAAAAAATTATAAAGTAGAACTACCAATCCGAGGTAAACCTGAGGAAATCAACACCAGCATACAATAGATACCTGTACATCTGTGTTTACTGGGGCCCAATTCACAATAGTGAAGTCATAGAATCAGCCTAAGTGACCATCAACAGATGCATGGATAAAGAAAATGCAGTATATATACACAATGGAGTATTACACAGCCATAAAAGATGATATTGTTATTTTCCGGGAAGTTCAGAACATTATACTGAGTGAAATAAACCAGAGTCAGAAAGGTGAATGTTATGTTTTACAACTTGATATTTATGTTTAAAAAACAAAAACAAAAAAACGTTGGCCAGGCACTGTTGGTTCATGCCTATAGACTCCTAGCTACTCAGGGAGTCTGAGATCAGAGGATTGATGCTGAAAAACAATTTGAGAAGACAAATTTGAGACTCATCTCCAGTTAACTATTGAAAAGCCAGAAGTATATGTGGCTCACATGGTGAGTCAGCCTTGAGGAAAACACTACATAGCAGCACAAGGCCCCGAGTTAAAGCCCCAGTACGAGCATACACGTGCACACATGTACACACACACACACACACACACACACACACACACAAAACAGATTGTGGGGGCTGGGAAAGTGGCTCAGTGGTAGAGCGCTTGCCTTGCATGCATGAGGCCCTGGGTTCGATTCCTCAGCACCACATAAGCAAAAAGAAAAAAACCAGAAGTGGTGCTGTGGATCAAGTGGTAGAGCGCTAGCCTTGAGCTGAAGAGCTGAGGGACAGTGCCCAGGCCCAGAGTTCAGGCCCCACAACCGGACCAAAAACAAAAAAACAAAAACAAAAAAAAACAGATCGTGAAAAATAAAGATATGACAGAAGAGTCAATGGATGAGGGAATCAACCATAAGGGAAGTTAAGTGATGGGGGTAAATACTGATGGAATCAGAATTTCTTTGCTGGAAAGAAAATGGTATTTGGCCATTAAGTTTAACTCAACTAAATTTCCTCTCTTAATCTGGGTCCTTTGCCCCTGGGGTAAATATCAGCCCCCACCCCTGTGTTGCTCCACCCTCTGCCTCTTTCTCCCCACACCTCAGCCAGGTGCTTCCAGCTGACCCCTTGTAATTCTAGCTATCCTACCGGCACACACACACACACACACACACACACACACACACACACACCTCCGCCTGTAAGAGGTGTATTCTATCTACTGGGTGCAGAGTCCCCTTCAAGTTTGTCACAAATAAACCTGCTCTGGTTCATCCGTGTCTTCCTTTTTCCTCTTTATCTTTTGTTCCTAACAAAAATAAGCAAAATAAATAACATGCAAGTATGAAAATGCCACCATGAGACCTGCCATCCAATAATAATAATAATTAATAATTAGTGTGTGTGTACGTGTGTCAGCCCTGGGCTTGAACTCAGGTCCCAGGGCGTTGGCTGCGATGTTTTGCTTAAGGCTGGCGCTCTACCACTTGATCCACAGCGCCACGTACAGCCTTTCTGGGGTGCTCACTTGGAGATCAGTCTTAACGGACTTTCCTGCAGGGGCTGGCCTCGAACTGCAATCCTCAGACCCCTCGGGAATGGCTGGGACTACAGGCGTGAGCCGTGAGCACTGGACAATAATCATCATTGTTGAGAGTATCAATGTGTTGGTTAAGATTCCGACCCTTGCCAGCGTGGGGCTGGCCCAGCGCGACCCTCCACGACCCCGGCGGTCCGGGATCCCCGCGTTCCCGCCTCCACCTCCCCGACGAGACCCCGCTGACCCGACCCGCCCCGTTACTGTAAAACCTTGTTTCAAGTTTTACAGGATCTGCAACACACAAGGGTTTCGGGCCGTTCTGAACCCAAATCGCCAAGACGAAGCGCCAGGCCAGGAACCGCGGTGCCGAGGCTCGGCTGCGGACCTCCGCGCCGGCGAAGAGTGGGTTTCCGCGGGCAACGGGCCAGGGCCGCCGGGACGTGCAAACGCGACTCCGCGGGGGGCGACGGAGCGACGATGTCTTCCGGGAAAGAACGCGGCCGCGGCCGCGCTCTGAATTTGGTCCCTCTGGAGACGCCGTCCGGCCGCGCGCCGCGCCCGCGTCACGTGACCGCGGCCTCGGGAGCGGCCGGTCGCGCAGCGCCGCGGGGTCTCGCGCCGAGGTGGGCCGCCGGCGGGATGGAAGCCACTTTGGAGCAGCATCTGGAGGACACGTGAGTGAGCGGCGCCGGCCCTTCGGCCGCCCCGAGGTTTGGACGGGTGGCACGGGCTGCGAAGGCCGGCTGGGCGGCGTGAGGACGCCCGGCGGCCCCGAGGACCCGCGGCCTGGGGCGGAGGGGCTCCGGGAGGGCCGCGCCTCGCGGGGTTGAAGCCGCCGGCGCCAGCTTCCGGAGCCCCGGGCCCGAGGCTCGGAGAGAGACGTTCCCGAGCAGCGGAGTCGAGCCCCGCATCGTGATCACGCACCTCCCCTCGCGTGTGTAGCCTGCGGGGTCGCTTGAAGCTGATGGAAGACATCACTTCGTTTTTCGAGCGTCATTGTATATTCAAAATCGGACAACGTAAAGCGGATTAGGAGACAGTTCCCTCCCAGCTAGGTCCCCGGGCCTCTCCTCCCCTCGCGGGACCTCTGACACGGATTTAGTAGACTCAAGTATGCATCTTTAACAATCACAACAAAAAATTTGGTACTGCAGTTTGGGGCTCTCTAAAGCTCAGGGTTACTTTTCTCATCAGAGAAAACCGGTTGGATTAAGTGTAATAGGGTGAGTGGTAATGAAACAAGGCTGGGAAACTGGTTTAAAGTACTTAATGCTTGGCCTATATGTGCCATAATTATTTCTAAATATTTAATTCATCTCTTTCATGTTCTGGAATCAGAATGAAGAATCCATCCATTGTTGGAGTCTTGTGCACAGATTCACAAGGACTTAATCTGGGCTGTAAGTGTCACATACCTTCCTTTGAAGTTGAGTTGGAGCCTACTCATTAGGTTTCCTGTTACCTTTCTACTTTCAAGGGACTCTTGTGAGAGTAAAGATTTTCTGCAAATAAGATTAGAAAAACTGGTTTGTATTTATCTATTGCCTGTCCTGGGGCTTGAACTTAGGGCCTGGGCACTGACTGAGCTTCTTTTGCTCAAGGCTAGCACTCTACCACTTGAGTCACTTCCAGCTTCTGTTTGTGTGGTATTGAGGAATTGAACTTAGGGCTTCATGCATGCTACGCAAGCACTGTATCACTGAGCCATATTCCTAGCCCTTGAAATTCTTTAAGTGTTACTTAAAAGTGAAATAATGCCTTGCAGTCATGAAATGGTTGTCTGTATTAAAGTTGTATTCATTGTAAATTGGATCTAGAAAGGATATTATTAACTTTTATGGATTGCATTCCTATACAGGAATTGTTAGGCTTTATATATGTTATCTCCTGTTGTCACAAGAACTGCCAAATACATACTGCTATTTGTTAGTCCAGCTATAACAATAAATTAGTTGGAAGTAATATTGAGGTTCTAGAGTAGGATACATCTAAGTTCAACTCTATTAAGTAATCTCATTTACTAGTAATATGAGCTTGGACTAAAAAGAATCTTTCAAAGCCTCAGTTTCCTTACGAATTACTTAATAATGATAGTAGTTATAGAATTACATTTATTGATCTCTTCCTTGCCCTGGCAAGTACCAGCATATGTATCCCTCAAAATAACCCTGTCTGATGGATAAATACACACAGGAAGATGTGGTGGTACAGGCCTGTGATGCCGGTTTCTCTACTTGGGAGATGGAGGCAGAGGCAAAAGTTCTTGAGTTCCAGGCTGACACAGGCAAAGTCTCACAAATACGAAAGGGCTGGGACCATCTAGCATCTGAAGCCTCTGCACCATGAGAAGATAGAAAATAGCTTATAGGGCTGGGAAGATGGCTCAGTGGTAGAGCGCTTGCCTTGCATGCATGAGGCCCTGGGTTCGATTCCTCAGCACCACATAAGCAAAAAGATAAAAGCCGGAAGTGGCACTGTGGCTCAAGTGGTAGAGTGCTAGCCTTGAGCTGAAGAGCTGAGGGACAGCGCTCAGGCCCAGAGCTCAGGCCCCATGACCGGACCCAAAAAAAAAAAAAGAAAAAGCCGGAAGTGGTGCTGTGGCTCAAGTGGTAGAGTGCAAGCCTGGAGCTGAAGAGCTGAGGGACAGCGCCCAGACCCAGAGTTCAGGCCCCACGACTGGACCCCCCCCCCCCCAAAAAAAAAAATAGCTTATATAACTATTTTAAGCTAAAATAGTTTACTACCAAGTGATTGAGGCAAGATTTGTGTATAAAATCCTAGCTCAGAGCCAGACAATATTCCTTAGCAAATACAGTTAAGGAAATAAATCCAGAAGGTAAATAAATACATTGTTAATTAATGTCAGGAAAGTTAAAATCTAAGACTTCTTATTTCTAATGTAAGAATTTTTAAGAAAACTTCAAGGTCTTTATATCTGGACAGTGAGAGTTTTATATTACAGTAATGAATCCATCTGTTCTGCTTTGGTGGAGTGTCTATTATCTAACTTAGTTTCAGGCACCAGTAAGCTTGTGTTGTGTTTACTTATAGATATTATAAACTTAGTAACTACTTGTGTTGTACCTGAGACTTATTGCTTTATACTAACTTTTATACAGACTAGACGATTCTATTGACAAGTGAAAGTAGCCAATTATTCTAGCAGCAGTATTTCACAGATCATAGTATATTCACACATACTATTAAGGTGATCTTACAGCAGAGCTTAACTCTTGACTAAATACTTAGTCCATGAACACTGTAAAAGGAAATGAGATTTCCCCTATAGAATTAATTCAACAAGTCCCTTGCTCTTATTGACTGTTTTTGTTTTTTTTTTTTTTAATTGACTGCTTTTTGTCAGCCTCACCTCTGAATTTTTTGGTTTTAGTAAGGTTCCGATAAAATGAATTTATGAAACCATGAACTGAACCTTCTTATGAGTAGTCTAGTGAGAGATACTACTATAGCTCTCTACTCACTTTTGGACAGATAACATGGTATCCTCAATTTTCCAGGCCGGGGTACTCTGTCAGATGAACATGCTGGAGTGATATCTGTTCTTGCTCAGCAAGCAGCTAAGCTAACCTCTGACCCCACTGATATTCCTGTGGTATGTCTAGAATCAGATAATGGGTGAGTAGATGTCAGCAGATCCTTTTCATTTTGTTCAGAAAAAGTTGTGAAGACTTTGATTGGGGTCTTCCTTATGTTTATAATTGATTCCTTAGTCAACCTTACCACACGCAAGAAGCAATATTACTTCAGGTCACATGACATTTAGGTGAAGAGTAATAATTGTCATGTACTATCAGTCTGCTAAGTAAAAGTAATGGCACAAAAGAAGTGATCAAAGAATAGAAACTTCTTAAATGTGTAAAAGTCTTTATAATAATACTAAGTAAAAAAGATTAGGATACAAAACTGCATAATACGATCACAATTTTGAGAGAGACAAAAATAGAAATGAAGAAGCATAGGATGTAGTATATGATTTAACCTTTCTTTGTCTTTTCAAATAGCTATGTGGTCTATGTATAATCCTTAATGTAGAAAAGTGTTGTTATTTTGTACTTTAAGCCAAACAACATCTTTAATTTTGCACTTAAGTTTCACTTAAGGTTTTATTGAATATTTTCTTCTTTTTCAGGAACATTATGATCCAGAAACATGATGGCATAACAGTGGCAGTGCACAAAATGGCCTCTTGACATTTCATGTCAGTTTTATAGAAGCCTGTCATAGGGATTCAGCCTACCAGTACTAATTAAAAATTGTAAAACTATTAAGTTATACTTGTAAAACTATTGATGTTCCAGTGGTTAGATCATTCACTGGTATACATTTATGTATTTACGTAAGTTGCTTTTAAACTAACCTCTCAATATGTAAGAATTTTTCATGTTCAAGGCCAGTGCTCTACCACTTGAGCCACAGCTCACTTCTGGCTTCTTGGGGGCAGTTAATTGGAAATAAGTATCTCATGGACTTTCCTGTCCAAACTGTCTTCAGACTATAATCCTCAGATCTTGGCCTCTTAAATAGCTAGGAGTAAGTATAGGCATGAGCCACAGGCACCAGGCTAAGAAAGGATCACGTTTTGAAGCATGTTTGTGTCCAAAGAAAATATGAATGTACTGAGGAACAAGGGGTTTACAGCAAGGAGAAATGGATAAGACAGGACAAACCAAAATGAGTATTTATGTAATAGCAAGTGATCTAGTTTGGTTAGGCAAGAGGTGAACAATTAGTTCCAGGTCAGTTTGTCTATAGAATTTTCTATATACAATAAATAAATCTGTTTGGAGGAAATCTTGGTGTCTTTTCTGAATTTCTTAAACTCTTACCATGTGTCCTTTTAATCCCAGTTATTCTAGTGGAGGGCGGGGAAAGTTTTCCAAGATCTCTGCGCAAACTACTTGCTTCTCTTTCAAAAACTCATGGAAATATGTGTTCTCACAGCAGTGTTCATGATCAAACACATTCTTTACCTCAATAACATAACTAATACTATATAGCCAATATCATTAAATCCTTATTACATGTCAGGAACTTCTTCACTGTACAGCAGGTACTCTCATTTGCCCTATTTTAGGCTTATATAAGTCTAAGGGAGTAGAAGTTGCCATTTGGACTCTGGACTCCAACTTGAAACCTGCACTCAACACACAGACCATCAATGAAACAGACATGTTTGGCCAGAAAAAAAAATCTTTTACCACCTGTAAGTATAGGTCAAGGTCTTCAGCCATTATGTTCTCAAGAACAGTGGGTACAAGCAGTCACAAAGAACCTCAACTTGTTCAATTTGAATAAAGTTCTGTTGCACTTTAGCAATTTGACATTTCACAATATAAAAAAATGTCCAGAATAGCCGGGCGCTGGTAGCACACACCTGTAATCCTAGCTACTCAGGAGGCTGAGATCTGAGGATCGTGGTTCAAAGCCAGCCTGAGCAGGAACGTTCATGAGACTCTTATCTGCAATAAACCATTAGAAAACCAGAAGTGGTGCTGTGGCTCAAGCAGTAGAGTGCTCGCTTTGAGCTGAAGAGCTGAGGGACAGCACCTAGGCCCAGAGTTCAAGCCCCACAGCCAACAAAAAAAGATTTTAAGTAAAACATGATTCCAGTCCTTGGGCTTATACTCTAATAGAATGATTATGTATGTATGTCATGTTCCAGACATATATTTACTATATCTCTACTAGTGTACAGGTATTTGAGGGCATGAGTTTTGTTTTTTTGTTTTTTGTTTTGCCGGTCCTAGGGCTTGAACTCAGGGTCTAGGTGCTGTCCCTGAGACTCTTTGTGTTCAAAGCTAGCACTCTACCATGAGCCATAACTCTACTTCTAGCTTTTTCTGAGTAGTTTATTGGAGATAAGAGTTTCACAGATTTTCCTGCCCAGGCTGGCTTTGAATCAGTCCTACTCAGGAGTAGGATTACAGACATAACACACTGGTGCCCAATTGAGCACCTTATTTTTATTTTTGCCTTATTTACAGATGTATCCCAAGCACCTAGAACATTTCTTAGCACATAGAAGGCACTGGATACTTGCTAAGTAGATGAATATGCATATAGGACAAAAGGATTTTGTAGTATAAATTGGACCTCCAAACATAGAATGCTTGCATTAAGGAATGAGGGGTTTCTAGCAAGTGGATAAACCAAAAGGCAAAGGTTTTAAGCTGGGTGCTGGTGGCTCACATAATTCTAGCTACTCAGAAGGCTAAGATCTGTGAGCCGAGGTTTAAGATCAGCCCAGACAGACAGATCTACAAGGCTTCAAGTTAACTAGCAAAAGTCAGATATGGAAGTGTGGCTCAGGTTGTAAAGTGCTAGCCTTGAGCAAAAATGCGGAGGGCATGTATGAATGAGGCACTGAGTTCAAGCCCCAGTTCAAGTGTGAGCACAAACAAGCAAATGCTTTGGTAGGCAAGATGTGAGAACTGGTCAGGAAGCTAAGTCAAGGAAATTGGCTTTTTTTTTTTCTTTAAATGGGTTTTGAAGCAAATGAGATTCATCTATTTCCCCAAAGAAAAACTTGCCTATGTATATAGTAAGAACCAGTCTTTAGAGACATCTGTGCTACATGATAGACACTAAGCAACTCCCATTCATCTCAAGAGTCCTATCTTGCAATGTATTGTTGCCACTTTAGAAATAGGCTTGACAAGATAATTAGCTCAGAACCAAATATGAGACCAACACTCACCCCAAGGAAGAAAACAGACTGAAGAATCAACAATGATTGCATTTTCTGGTCTGGGCTATTTATTTTTGGTTAGTCATGGGGCTTGAACTCTGGGCCTGGGCGCTGCCCCTGAGCTCTTCAGCTGAAGGCGAGCACTCTACCACTTGAGCCACAGCACCACTTCCACTTTTTCTGGTGGTTAATTGGAGATAAGAGTCTTAAGGACTTTCCTGCCAGACTGGCTTTGAATCCTGATCCTCAGACCTCAGCCTCTTGAGTAGCTAGGATTACAGGTGTGAGCCACCAGCACCCAGCTAGTCTAGGTTATTGATGAATTAGTGTTTTTTGTTTGTTTGTTGTAATTTATGGTTACAAAGGTGATGTTCAGAGGGGTTAGTTTCATGAATCAGGTAAAGAGTACATTTCTTTTTCAACAATGTCACTCTTTACCTCCCTGTCCCAGTTTTTCCCTGGCATTCCCACCCTCAAATTGAATAGTTCATTTTCAACATAGTATCTAGTAAGTACCACTGCTGCATTTGTTCACCCTTTGTGTCTCCATTTCTGTGCCCCTCCTTACCTTCCCAAAGACAAATGAACAAATAAAAACAGCAACAAAGAATAAACCTCTTGTTTCCATTTCCTGGAATTCATTTAGATAAATATTATGTTATATGATCAGAGATACACATAGACATTGCATCTTTGTGGATGAGTTAGTTTCTTAAAAGCACTCAGAGGGCAGGATTACAGGGGGGGAAAGTGACTGGGTTTGGTTTTGGGTAGGCCAAATTTCTCACAGGCATTCTGATGGTAATATTCAACAACAAACGTGTTATGTGCCAGTCACCTAAGCACTTTCTACTAGCACCTATCAAACTTTCAGACTTCCAGAAGTTAAGTATGTTCAGCATATACTATATTGTTTACACACTACAATACAGTGATCTATTCATCATTTAAGGAATGGAAGGCCAGCAAGAATTACTTTTAATGAACCCGGTATCAACAGCAATCCTATAAATGTGCAGTTTTTCTTATATACACATTGTAATCCTCAAAAACACCTTACAAAATATTATTAGCCATTTTGGAAACACTCAGGGAGGATGACTCGCCCAGTCTGAGGCTTTAAAATGGCAAAGTTAACGGGGCACTAGTAGCTCATACCTGTAATCATAGCTTCATAGTTTGAAGCCACAGAGGAAGGCAAACCCTTGAGACTCATATCTCTAACACTAAAAACGGGGTTCTGGCTCAAGTGGCAGAACACCAGCCTTAAGACTAAAACTTAAAGGAAAGTACTCTGGCCCTAAATTCTGGTACCACTCCCCCCCCCACACACACACACAAAGTAAATATTCTAACCAAGTCTATACTTAATGATACAACTCAAAGCTTCCACTTCATATACTTATATAAAAGATATGTTTAGCCATACACCTGCGGCTCACTCCTATTCCATAGGCTATTCCATAGGCTGAGATCTGAGGATCATAGTTCAAAGCCAGCCTTGCCAAATAAATCCTTGGGTCTAATCTCCAATTATGTAGCAAAAGAACCAAAAAGTCAAGGGGAAAAAAGTTGAGTGAGAATTGAGGCACTAGTACAGGCATGCATATGTGTGCATGCACGCACACACACATTTCTGAGGATTTTGAAGCCGCCTTAGTTTCTTAATGACTCCTGCCACATTTCAAACATGGTCTCAGATTCCCAAGACAGAGCTATAAAACTCAGGCTCAGTGGTTAGCATCAGACAGCCTGGCTCTGAAAGAGTAACAAGTGTGCCACCAAAAAAACCTAAAAACAATCCTACAGATGTTGACTAAAAATGTTTTCTGGTGTATATAATTAACAAAGAGCTCTCTGAAAACATTTCCTTTCTGTTGAATGTTTATTTGATCCTTACTACCAGCACCCACATAATTGCAATCTTTCCAGCATCCTTCCCAAACCACTAAGGGCTCCTGCACTTTTGCCTAAGCACTTTAATCAGAAGTATTAGTTTTGCTTTGAGAGACTGAGATGCCCCTTATTTTTAAAGGGGAACATTTATGAATGTGCAGGTTTCCAGATAAAAGAAGAGAAACACTCTTTGACCTAAAGTAAACTTACTTTAGGAATCTGGAATCTGGGAATTTGGGAATCTGGAATGTTGGTATGGGGAGATGAAAGGCAATTTCCTGAAGACTTTTTTTATGTAGAGGGTGGAGCAAAGGAAGGAAATACAGTTGAATTACTTTTTGGTGAGACTCAATGTTAATCTTTTCAAAGAGCAATGAAAAAGTATTTCATTAAAACTACCACAAATATGCATCCTTTCGTGGGAGGTACTTGAAGGTAACAATCAAAAAGGCACTTAAAATGAGATCACAAAGTCAAAAATAGTACTTAGAATCTTCAATGAACAGACTTTACAAATACGTTAAACTTAAGACTGCCTGGGTACACCTCTGAAAGTTACACATTTATTTAAAAAGAAAAAAAAAAAGGACGTGGAATTCCAGACAAGTATTTAGTTTTAAGCCCCATCTCCCAACCTTGAGAACAGTCATCAACAAGATTTTCCCTTTGATTTACTCAGACA